CTGGGATACGCATATTTTCCTTCTATCGTGAAGGTTATATATGTTGAACTTCCCATTAGAGTAACAACGTTATATCTGCAAAACGGCGTTACAGTAGTGAATGTCTCACGTTAAAATAATTTTCTACCTAATTAGTGACAAAATAGGGCGCTTCTATCACACCCAGTTGCCATTTTGTAAAGGGACCGCTTTAAAATTTCGAACACTTTAGTGGTACGTGTTCCCTTTCCTAGTGATTACTTTGCCTCTTATCCATTTCTACACGTGCCTTAATATTCATCACGCTATTCTATTTGATTATCCTGCAGCTCCTGAATGCAGAAACGCAAAAAATACTTCGGACACCAAAAAACCTTCATATTATTGGCCTTTACTACATCGGAAGGCTTTTAGCCTCTCCCTCTGGCGATACCGGAAATCGACGCTTCATTCGAAACACAGAAAACCACGAAATTGATGAACTATATTTTTTTGGACTAGACCGTCTGCTGATCAGTCCTACAACACCGCCGTTTACTAATCCTTTCTTTAAGTTCAGCGATGAAAAAAATTTCATAATTTCGGTTTACATTTCCTGAGCTTTGTCAAGTGCCCAGTGGCTTGATTTAGTCAAATGTTATTGTCAGATATAACTGGTATCTGTTCATTTTAACAACTATACATTTTTTGAGATGACTTTTTTTTCAAATTTCTCTTTTTTGTAAACAGCACCTTCAAGGCCAATCTAGATCTTCCCATTACAAGGAAAGCGAGCGGGTGAACGTACAAAGTGCTGCAGGAGCAAACCCCTGACATTGTCTGGAATTCTCGGGTTTACACGTGGACTGTTGGACTCCAGAGCGTTCTTGAAGGTCATTTCCATTGAAGTGGGAGATTCAGCGTGGGGCGACTCAATTTCCGTAGAAGAAGCTCCGGGACCGATTGATGTCAAATCGGACATCGAGGGGTTGCGTGGACCGAGGTTCCCTTCTAAGGCTTGTTCGTTGTTGTTTGGAGGGGTGATTGGGGGAGGATCTTTCAGCATCGTTGTGAGTCCAGTAATAGTGACATACAGCAGGAGACGGGCTTCATTGGTATTTTTACTGAGTTGTAGTTCCACCCTCTGTGTGACCTCCAGGGGTAGTTCGGCAAGATCAATTATAGTTCTAGTGGAAGCAATTTATTAAAGAAGCGGTCAGCATCGAGCACAGTACTTGGAGGAAGAGTCTATAACCACGGTAGGCTGATATTGGAATATGCGACGATTTCACAGAATAGGAGTCTGGAAAACGGCTATAAGAAAAGATGTGAGATTAAATTCCAAAAGGCTCGTTAGGCATTTTAAACGTTTAGGTTGGAAGGCAAGCAATTTTGAGGCTGAGAGCAGCAATGAGCAGGATTTCATTCGTGTGATTTGAAGCAGAGAGGCCCTAGTAGTTTGGTAGGTAACCGTATCAACCTAGGCTTCCTATACATAAGAGTTCTAGTATCGAAGGTGGTAAGTTCTGGTACCGATCACTAATAAATTCCCGGAGCATTGATTAGGCAATGAACAGAGCTGTGTA